CGTATCCGTAGAAATCGTAAATTTCTATCGAAAAGAAAAAAGAAAAAAAAAAAAAAAAAAAAATCAATGAAAAAGACAATACCTAAAGATAGATAGAAAGAGAGAAAGAGAAAAGAAAAAAAGAAAAAAGAAATGGAACGTTCTATATCGCGATGACATAAAAAAGAAAAAAGAAAAAAAAAAAAAAAGAAAAAAAAGAACAGACGTCATTTAACGCCATTATTTCATATTATAAAAGAATTAAGAATTAAACGTCCAAACAATAACAACAAAACTGAAGGAGATAGATTCCGACTATTAAGAGAAATAATTGCATCCGGAAGACGGAAGAGATCATGGTTTATATATGTATGGTTCCATTTCAGAGAAAGTACGAGTGTACTTCCTGAACTCAACGTAGCATATCACGAAATATGGTTGTGCGTTGTTGATTTTTTTTTTATTTATTTATTTTTTTTTTTTTTTTAAACATTGTATCCAGTTAACGTCACCTCTTTCTTAATCGCAGCGACGATCGAGGAGTACGTAAAAGAGAACGAGGTAGGGGGAGGAAAGGGAGGCGGGGAGGAAAGGGTGGAGGGGAGAAAGAAAGAGAGAGAGAGAGAAAGAGAGAGAGGTTCTTCTCTTAATCGAGATTACGTTAGTGTAAAAGATCATAAAGAAGAGTTACAACGTAGGTGCTTTACAAAGCAGGGCCGTATATACGCGAAGGCGCAAAACTAAATTAAGGATTGGATAAAGATAATGGGTGGGGACTAATAAACGAGTCCCAATTTGTTAAGGACAAATTAATGTCGACGATTATCCCCACCAAAAAAAAAAAAAAAAAAATGAATAAATAAATAAAATAATGAATGAATGAATGAATGATTGCATGAATGAACGAATGAATGAATGAATGAACGAACGAACGAATGAATGAATGAACGGATTGAAGTATTTCGTCGAGAAAAAGTTTCATCGTTCGAGAAGAAAAATTCTGATTTGGGGGAGGTTGTGGGGTGGGGCGAGCGGGCGGGGGCCGGGAAGAAAAGAAGAAGAAGAAGAAAAAAAAATGAAAACAATAAATAAAAGAAAGAAAGAAAGAAAGAAAAAAATGAATGCACGGAAATCTTCCGTTATAATCAGTTCATAATTATCGTCGGAAAGAAGAGACGTATAAGAGGGGGGGGGGGGGGGCGGGGGAAAGAAAAAGAAGAAAAAAAAGAAAAGAAAAGAAAAGAACAAAAATTATATCCTTACGTTACGCGTACCTAGGGTCACGTGACTCCGTTTCCTTCCCCTCTCCCTGTCCCTCACCATCAACCTTATCCTCACCCTTCCTCACACCCTTCCTCTTACCCAGCGTTCTATACTAAAAACAATGTAGGAGTCCGTCCATACGTCCATGTTGAGATGTATTACATCCAAGTATTACATGTATGTATGTATGTATATATTTATGTATGTACTTATGTATTTATGTATGTATGTGTATATGTACTACATGATGATTTACTTTCACGTAGGTCAAAAATTAAGGTGACACGCAAAACGTTGAAAAATAAATGAAGGAACAATAACTGCAGGTACGTAAATAGGTAGGTAGGTAGGTGGATGGGTAGGTAGGTAGGTAGGTAGGTAGGTAGGTAGGTAGATAGGCAAGTGGATAGATAGACAGACAGACAGACAGACAGACAGACAGGTCGAGTTGGCTGACAGATAAACAAGCAAGTAAGCAGACAGAGCGTGGTACCGGGCATTGTCTTTGATGTTGCGTTACTTAAGTACCTTGTTTCCACGCTTTCGTGGCTTTCTGTTTATTGCTATTGGGCCTAATACTCCCATCCCTTTCAATTTTATATTATATATATATATATATATATAAGTCCTAAGTATTGGAATTTTTTAATACTACGTTCGAATTATCTAAAAAAAAAAAACAAAAAAAAAAAAAGGAAAAAAAAACATGAAATGAAGAAAGTAAGAGAAACTACATTTTTTTTCTCTTTTCTTTTTTTTCTTCTTTTTTTGTTTTTTTTTTTGTTTCGCACGAGACGAGAGAAAAGTCCCTAAGTAGTATGGTTGAATCGGTGAGTGGTTTTTTGGATTTGAAGTGGGGATAAGTTGGGGATGAGTAAAATATATATATATATAATTGTTTTTGTACGAAGCGATAGAGAAAGTCCATTAGGTACGAACAAATGTCCCTAGGAATCATTTGAAAATCCCTAGATGCAGATTAAACAAGTTTAAATGATTTAAAGTAATTCATTAATCAATCCTTTGAGATATTTTGCATTTGTATTTTTCTTTTTTTTTTCCTTTTTTTTTTCAAATTGTGAAAATATATTTTAAATTCCCCTCTATGTATATTATGTGTGTGTGTATATATATATATATATATATATATATATATATATTATTATATTTATGGATGTGTATGTGTATTCTAACTATACATATGTAAAAATAAGTGGAAGAGGAAACGAAAGGGAAAAAGAGAAAAAAAAAAGAGAAGAAAGAAAAGGAAAAAAAAAAAAAAAAAGAAAAAAAGAAAACGAAAGTTCGAAATCAGTGAATAAGATAGATTTACGTACGCGTTTCTCCATCGCGAGATTTCGCTGAAATCGGAGCACCGATTCTAAGAGATACGAAACGAAACATTTCAAATACACATTTCACGACGAATGCAGCCAACCGAGAGATTTTCATTGCATTGGAAATTAGATGCACTTCCAGAGTAATTCATCTATTTTCTTTTCTATTTCTTTTCTTTTTTCTCTTTTTTTTTTTTTTTCATTCTTCTTTTTCTTCCTCCATTTAATCTAATACACATCGACGACAAGTTATATGTAATGTGAATATGCACATTGTATTCATTTAATTTATTTCTTTTTTCTCCCCTTTTCTTTCCTTAAATGACTATTGTCGAAAATTATAATGCTAATTATATATATATATATATATATATATATATGTGTGTGTGTGTGTGTGTGTGTGTGTGTGTGTGTCTGTCTAAATTTAATATATATTTAAAAACATTATATTGTGTGATATATAAATTATAAATATATATAAGTATATAAAAAAATTATTAACATTAATATATATATATATATATATAACATTATATATATATAAAATTATAATATTTAAATATTAATAAATATATAACTCAAGAAAGTATACTTTCTTTACATATATATAAAACTTAATAAAATAATATATATTACATATTAAAATAATAAGTAAAATAATAAAATTTTGAAAAATTATTTGTTAACACAAATTCAATATTACATATATATACATACATACATATATAATATAATATAATTTCTAAATTTATATTTGAAATGTAAAAAAAAAAAAAAAAAAAAAAAAAGGATTGAAAAAAAAAAAAAAAAAAACCCCAATCTATTATTTATTTAGGATCTAAACTAAATATGAATTTCGATATTATTTATTTGACAAATTCAATATTATACACGCACAACACACACACACATACACATATGTCATAGTAATAAAGTGGTACATATACTATACCACTGTACATTGTTGTAGTTCAGTCGGCCAAGCGAAACTTCTTCCGCCTTTTTCAAGTTTCGTAATGTGTATATATATTTTTTTTCTTCTTCTTTTTTTATCTTTTCCTTTTTTTTCTTTTCTTTTCTTTTCTTTCACCTCCTCACCCGCTCCCGCCACTCCTCCCGCCCGACCCCCTTTTCTTTCTTCTTATATTTATATACTCGTACTCGTGTTTTCGTGCGTAAGTTGGAATAGAGAACGTTTAAATGTATAATTCTCACTACTGTATTATGCGATTGCTATTGCAATTTCTTGCAATGTGATAGATAACGTTTTCTAAGCTCCGTAAAACCGTAATTACGAAAATTCGCACGTTTCTCTATATGTGTATTGTACATACATACATATATATATATATATGTATATTTTTTTTTCCCCCTACTTATTTCTTTTCTTTCGTTCTTTCGTCACTGGTACTACGATCGTAAATAAATCAAAAACGTTAGAAATTAATTAGATATAGGGGAGAAATTTTTTTAATCATCTATAATATTAATCGATATATTTATTATTTAGTAATATATTAATTGTTATAATAAATAAAATATATTTAAGAAATAATATTTATATATATATATATATATATATATATATATATAATTTTGCTCGATTAAAAATGTGATGAACGGAATAGAATCAAAAATAAATAAATAAATAAATAAATAAATAAAAGAAAAAATAAGATTAAATATGACAATTGTTAACGATAATTCTGTTGATACGCAGTACGCGTGAAAAGTAAAAAAGAAATAAAATGAGAAAAGAAAAAAGAAAAGGAGTAAAAATAAAAAAAAAAAAAATAAAAAAAAAAGAAGAAGAAATTAAACGAACGAATAAACATAAAAGAAAAACAAATCAGCTCGCAAAAGAAGAAAAAAAAAATAATACAATTCGATCCAATGTACAATATCCGAAATAGTTCGATTAAAAATGGAATGAACGGAATAGAATTAAAACAAAAAAAAAGAAAAAAAAGAAAAAAAAACAAAAAAGAGAGAGAAGAACGAAAAAAGAACCTAAAAAAAAAAAGATCAGATCAGCTCGCAAAAGAAAAAAAAGAAAAAAGATATAACTTAAAAGTGGGATGAATAAAATAGAATTAAAAAAAAAAAAAAACAAAAAAACAAAAAAATAAGCAAAAACGAAGAGAAAAAAGAAAACAAACCAGCTAGAGCCCAAAATAATACGATATTTAAAATGGTCCGATTGAAAGCAGGATGAACGGAATCAGAATCAAAAAAAAAAAAAAAAAAAAAAAAAATCAAAAAAAAGATAAAGAAAAGAGAAAAGAAGAAGCAAAAAATAGGAAACAGAACAAGAGAAAAAAAGAAGAAGAAAAAAAGAGAAGGAGAATTCCAATGGTGCAAAAAAAAAAAAAAAAAAAAAAAAAAAAAAAAAAAAAAAAAAAAAAAAGAATTGAAACTTACAATCCGACTCACCTCCAGTTTCGCGGCATATTCGTCGGCCAATAACTCGCTTTGCCTTGTTAATTCTTGATTCCTTTCGAGCAAGGCCTTGCCAAGTTCAGCGGCAAGAACAAGATCCCTTTCACGTTGCCTCAGAAGTTCGCTTGGATCTTGTAGGGTCTCCTCGTGATCGAGGGAACTTCTTCTTCTAGCTTGTAAATCCGATATCATGTCTTCGAGAGCATAAGGCTCTACCTGTTGTCGTTGTTGCTTTTGTTGTTGTTGTTGTAGTTGTAGTTGTTGTTGCTGTTGTTGCTGTTGTTGATGATGTTGTTGTTGTTGTTGGGACTCCTTCTTTGGCAGCATCCTCGAATTTATTTTTTCTTTCTCTCCGTTGTTTCTTTTTTTTCTTTTTTTTCTTTTTCTTTTTTAATACACTCTTTTCTCTTTTTTAACCCCCACCGCCCCCACCCCAACCCTTATAAAATTTCTCTACGAAATTTATTTCTCTCTCTCTCTCAATAAATTAAATATGGCGACGTTAAATTGATAAGATTAGCCGATGTAATAAAAGAGAATAAAAGAGAGAGAGAGAGAGAGAGTGTGTGTGTGTGTGTGTGTGTGTGTGTGAAAATTTTTGAAATCAAATAACATTTTACAAAATTCATCTATCTATTTATCTATCAAAGCTATTGTCTTTCTTTTTTATTTTCATCGTTCCTATCGATATTTTAATTTATTACATGTATCGAATAAAAAATAATATATATCACGCGTATTTATACATATATATATATATATATATATATATATATATATATGTATATAATGTATATAAATATATATATATATATATATATTTATATTCGTTTTTTCTTTTTCGTTGAAATTACGATAAAGTAACGTTTGAGTTTAACAAAAGTTGTCCCATCGTAAAAATATCGAAAAATAAAATAATGCGAAACATTTTTCAAAGGCACGTATACAGACACACACATATATATATACAGTAACACTTCACTATGACGACGTATATAACCTGACTGTTGTTTACTATACACATACGTTACGGCAGGTAATGACTCACCGCGGGCACGTTGAACGGAAAATAAATATTACGGAATCCATCGTTCTTTTATTTCTTTCTTTTTTTTTCCCCCCTCTTTAACTTTGTAAAAGAAAGAAAATAAATCTATTGATACGTCCGTCACGTACGAACGCTCGAAGCGTACTGAGGTCTTCCCGTGAATACCCATCGGCGTACGTTGGCTCGTACGTACTCCCGCACACCCGAGTTGATCCGAAGATAGACGAATACGACCGAATTCCTACGATCCAACGACGAGGACTCCCGTCGTTGTCGGCTTTTAATCTACGGATTAATAGAGAGGGCAGCGGGGAATTTAACGCGCATTGCGGGTGTAAATACATTGATACGTAAAATACACATATGATTGATTACGCGTATTTCGAATTGACAAGTTTGATTCGTCTATTTTTTTTTCTTTTTCTTTTTTTTTTGTTAATAAAAAGAAAAAAAAATATTTATTAATAATAATAATAATTATTAAAAAACAAGATCGACAAAATTATTTTCTCTTTTCTCTTTGTTTCTTTTTCCAAAAATTCACATTTTTGGCCTAGAGAATAATTAAAGAGAAAAAGGAAAAAAATTAATAAATAAGCAAGATTTTGCCTTGAAATGATATTTATATGAATAAAATTTTGAAAATTATTTTTAATTAAAGAAATAAAAGTTTTTTCTTGAAAATTGTTAGAAATGAATAAAGATTGCGTCTGATAATTATTATAAATGAATGAAGTTGCGTCTGAGTGTTATTTTAAAAAAAAAAAAAAAAAAAAAAGAAAAAGTTAGATCTTAGAAAATTTACTTTTACAAAATGAGACTGCGATTTGAAAATAATTTTATATTAAATAAAATTGCGTCTGAAGATTATCTTGACATAATGAAAATTACGTGGTATAATTATTTTCGCGAAATAAATTTTTTCAATTTGAAAATTATTTTAACTAAATGAAATTCCATCGTATAATAATGTTTACGATATAAATTTTCAATTTAAAATTAATTTTAACGAAAGAAAGTAACGTTTGAAAATAATTCTTACAAAATCTCCCATTGAAATTTATAATATATTTCTAAAGTAATCTTTTATTAATGTTTTATTATATGCGCTTGAAAAAATTCACACATGTACATATATATATATATATATATGCATATATATGTATATACAAGCGCGTATTGTTCATTTTCTTAATTCATAACCATATATTCTAGAATATTCAGAATAAAGATCATAGTTAAACGTTATACAGCATAATCGATTTATTCTAACGTGTGAACGGCTTGGCAAAGGTTTCACCTTTGTATTACCGATCGACCCGTCGACCTTCCCCACCGTCTGCGAACTAATCGCACGCGCGACCGACTCCTACGTTCTAATGTAACGCTCTTCCCCCACCACTACGCTTTTACCACCACTACGCTCGACACCTGGCGGCCGGGCAGCCACCTGAGTCGATCGCACGGAAATCATTATAGATCATATTCAGCCGGGTGGTAGTCAATGGTATACTCACATTCCTCAACTTTAAATGTATTTATCTCAATATTTTTTATCTGTAATTGTAAAAAAAAAAAAAAAAAACATTCTCAATCATTATTTTAACATTTTTCTTACTTTCACTTATACATATGTATATATATATTTATGGATTATGGTATTATATATTGTATGGTATCATATATATATATATATATATATATATATGTATATATAGATTATGATATGTATTTATGGATTAAATTATATTAGATATTTCTATTAGTATAATATTAGTAGTCAAATTATTTTCAGATAAAATTTTAATTTTTGTTTTTTTTTTTTTTTAATCATATATATATATATATATATATATATATATATATATATTTCTTTTTTGTCCAGATAAAACTTATTATTTATGTTAAAATTTTTTTCATATATAAAAGAAAAACTGCATTATTTTCAATCACTTATTATAATATCTTTCTTTTTCTTTTTTTGAACAAATCTTATTTTCATAATTTATTATTATCATATTAAGTAAAAAAAAAAAAATATATATATATATATATATATATAATCTTTTTTTAACAGACCTTAATAATTATTATCATATTAAAAAAAAAAAAAATATATATATATATTTCTTTCTTAACAGACCTTATTTTCATAATTTATTATTTCTATATTACAAAAAATATATTTATATAATTATTTATATATATATATATGCATATAATTTTTTTTAAAAGATATTATTTTCATAACTCATTATTACCATATTAATATATATTTATTACCATTATATATATATATATATATATACACATATTGTACATTTATTGAAAAACAGTGCCGTATATACAAACATTATTTTTCTATCACCATTAATTAAATCCATGGATTAAAACTCATATGATTTCATAATTGAATCATCTCTTTCTAAAAAAGAAAAAAAAGAAAGGAGAAAAAAAGAATTAGCCAAAAAATAAAATAAAATAATAACAACAACAACAACAACAACATTAATAACAATAATAATAATAATAATAATAATAATAATAATAATAATAATAATAATAATAATAATAATAATAATAATAATAATAATAATAATAATAATAATAATAATAATAATAATAATAATAATAATAATAATAATAATAATAATAATAATAATAATAATAATAATAATAATAATAATAATAATAATAATAATAATAATAATAATAATAATAATAATAATAATTACGAGTTCACGCTTATGGCAAAATTAAATGACGCAAACTTTAGACCTTCTTCTTCATCGTCCGTGTCCAACCGGAATCTAAAAACATATATAATTATATTTAACTCACAGCCATATTTTATATAACATTGAGCAAAACATTAGCAAATAGATCCTCTGTTTCTACAGATGAATGTAACATCTAATGTAGAAAAGTTTCTTCGATTTCCTCTCTCTTTCCCTCACTCTCTCTCTCTCTCTCTCTCTCTCTCTCTCTCTCTCTCTCTCTCTCCCTCTTTTCTTTTTTCTATCTCTCTGTTCCTTTCTTTCTTTAGATGATTTCCAGGCAATGCATAGTACCTGAAACGAATTGGTGTGCCTGGCAACCGAGAAAATCAACAAAGTGATGGACGCATAGGTTTATATATATATATATATATATATATATATATATATATATATATATATATAAACACAACAGCTGTCGAAACTCAGCAATAGACAGCAGATGTCTTTCTCAAATGTCCCTGATAGACAATATTACCGAAGGTTCAAAAAGAAAAAGAAAAAAAAAAGGAAAAACTATAATCATCAAGTACATTTATAAAATACAATTTTCAGAAAGATTACAACAGGAAAATCCAACTTTTTAATTAATATACAGAAAAAGAGAGAGAGAGAGAGAGAGAGAGAGAAGTAAAAAAAAAAATAAAAAAATAAAAAAAAAAAAATTAAAAGAACAAAAGAAGTAAATAAATAGGATTATCAAAAAAAAAAAAGAAATAAATAAATAAATAAAAATGCAATTCTTAAGACCTGGCCAGGATGCTTTGGAGATGGAGATGATGCCAGAAATTGAATTAACCAGATTGAAGAGACAATATAGGATAATGGAGAATGATCGTATGAAATGTTCTGAGGAAGGCAGTCTTCAACTTCGTAATCAACAGATTATGATTGCACGATTGGAATATGAGAAAGCTGAATTATTGCTTGCTATTAAATCAGCCAAATCAAAGACATTTATTAAGAAGGACGAGATGGATGATGTTAAGTTGAAAGAATTGTTCGATCAACGTTCCAAATTTATTGATTCGATCAAATTTGAAAAACAACAAATCGGTGAACTTAAAAGGCAAATTGGACAGGTCACTGGTATTACCAATGTCTTTTATATTCCTTTTCTTCTTCTTTTTTTTTTTTTTTTTTTTTTTGTTATATTTATCATCTTATAAAAACTTAATTGATTCTAATAAAATTAAATTTATATATATATATATATATATATATATATATATGTATGTATGTATGTATATATTTGTATAGATAACGAAAGAAGTTACAGTATTAAGAAGAAAAATTCCAACTGATGTACAAGCTAAGGAGAACAGTTTCAAACGACATAAACTCATCTTAATGTTAGAAAATCGATTGGAAGTTGGTATGAGAAGATTTAATATGATAATAGCAGAGAATGTTAAGCTTCGTGAAGAGATTGAATCATTATTAAAAGAGAGAACACAATTTACTACACTTTGGAATAAACTTGTTGGACAATTGAATACAGGAAAACAAATTATTAATGATCTGATAGAACAGGCTACTTTAACTTTTAATCAAAGGGATGAAGAGATGAACAAGACTCAGGCACTTCGTGAAAAGTATCATTTTTATTTCCTTTAAGATATAAAAATATTTTACATTTCTTTGATGATTATTTGCAAATTCTTTTTTTCTTTTTTCTTTTTTTTTTTTTTTTTTTTTTTCTTTTTCTTTTTCTTTCATAGAGCTATGAGAGATTTTGATGCTCATAAAGCAGAGATGTGTGAACTTCAGCGTACATTGGACAACGAAATGAAATTACAAGAATTTCTCGGTGTTAAAGGTCAATATCGAAAAACTATAGACTTGCAAATTAAACAGGAAGCCGAGAGAGCTGCTAAAAAACAAGAACAACAAGATAAAATAGCTACTTATACTCATATTCTCAATACGATGAAAGAATTTACAGGTAATAATATCATATTTTTTTAATTTTTATTTATTATAATTTTTATTATAATTTTTTTTTTTATTAATTTCAATGTTATTTAGGGGAGAACAATATTGACAGTCTTGTAGCTTATTTTGTTAAACAAGAGGAAGAAAATTTTGCACTTTTCAATTATGTCAATGAACTGAATGATGAAATGGAATGTCTTCAAACGAAAATGACAGAATTGACGATTGCCATTGATGAGGCAAGATTGTTGCATGAGTTTAGAGAAAAACAACAGGTGGAAACATTGAAAAATATTACAGATCAATTGGAAGAACAAACAAAGTTAGCCAATGAAGCCGAAGAAGAACTTAATAATGTAAAAATTTTATTTCTAATCTTAAACAATAATTTTTATAATATTTAAAATTCTTTTCTTTTTTTTTTTTTTCTATTTAGTGCGATCAAGATATAGAGAAAATGTTAAAAGGTATAGAATCTCTCTTTAAAATTGTTAAATGTGATAATTCACCTATTCTACAATTACTCGGTGACAATACACATGTGACTATGAGCAACGTTATGCTATATCTAAATATTATAGAGAAACGTATAACAGAAATGATGCATAAAGTTCATTGGGTCGATAAAGCAACTATGGCATCGCAATTGAGATTGGACGAAGATAAGAAACCAAAATTGAAAGTTCCATCTCTCACAGAAATTGCTCCTACTCAACCCTGTGTACTGTAAGTCCTTCTTAATAATTATTATCCATTCCTTTAACTCTCAATAATCAATGATCAATGAAAGAATTAAATTAACTCATGATTTAAATCAAACAATTCATTTTCAATACTTTATACGAGATCATAGAGAATTATAGAGAGTTAATAATCCTTTCATGAATTCCTTTCCTAATATTCACACCTGCTATATCCTTCATCATTCATTTGAAAAAAAAAAAGGAGAAAAAAAAAAGAAAAAAAAATTGGGATTACATTCGAATATAAATATATATATATATATATTTATATATATATTTAGCTGCATCGAGAAAGAAGAAATGCAAGTGATGACCGAAGGTTTAGAAATACCTCTATCTCGAGAAGAAGCAATAGAGAAATTGAATATACGTCTTGAAAGTGATTTCTCCGAATTACTTCATAATGTATCCGGTTGTCGTTTACCGGCTGCTAGAAAAGTCATACAAAAGCGTTATCAATGAATATTATTGAATTATTTTTTTTTTTTTTTTTTTTTTTTTTTTTTTTTTTCATATAAATAAATATTAGGTTGGAAAGTATGAAACGGGCGTTGAATGAAAAAAAATAACTAAACGATAACGCCCGTTTCATAGTTTACAATCTAATATATAAGTATTAGGTTGGAAACTATGAAACGGGTGTTCAATGAAAATAAATAACTAAACAAGAACGCCCGTTTCATAGTTTCCAATCCTAATAAATAAATAAACGTAATATTGTCTATCGATGTGGAGTATGTAAATTTATTAATAATTAAAATTATATATATATATATATATATATATATATATCTCAATTGTAACGTCATTTCTTTGTCTCTTTTTTAATCGTATATATAATACGTCTTAATTCTAATATAGTACGTTTGATTTCGAGCAATTGATGTTCAATATCATTGTCATCTAATATTGGTAATCTTTCCTTTCTTTTACATATCTGATGATAAATATTTTTACTACAATCTTTAACTCTTGCCAATTCTAAATATTTCCCTATGGCTGCCTCTTTTATTTTAGTGATTAACATTTCCCATTTTAATACTTCGATCTTCGCTTTCTCGTATCTTCCTTGAAGCGTTGACAATTTGTTGTTCAATCTGATTAATGTCTGCGACTTGGCTTCCGTCATGCGATACTAAAAAAAAGTAATGAACGTTAAAAAAAAAAAGAAAAAAAAAGGAAAAAAAAAAAAAAAAAAAGAAATATCCAATGAAATTGTTAGAATGATAATAAAAAAGAATAAAGAAAAAAAAAAAAAGAAAAAATGAAAATAAATAATGAATATAATATACTATCTCTGCTTCGGTCTCCTCCAATAATTCAATATTTTTCTCTTGCTGCTCGGATAATGATCTTTTAACTTCGATCAAATTTTCATAACGTTCAAAAATTTCTGTTATCGATCTAAACTGTTTTGTCTCGCTGATAACTTTTTCGAGATAATCTTGATACTTTTTATATATTCCAACATATTTTTCCATCTTCTCACGAATTCCTTTCATATAATTCAATCTCTCTTGTAAATTTTCAATCTAAACAAATATTTATGTTAATTACATTTAAAAATTATTATTACTACTACTACTATTACTAATAATAATAATATTAATAATATTAATAATAATAATAATAATAATAATAATAATAATAATAATAATAATAATAAAAGAATTGATAATTCTTTTTTTTTTTTTTTTAAATCATTTACATCTGTCTGATATTGCTTTTGTCTTTCCCGCTCTCCTAGAATTTTTTGTTTCGAGCGTTGCCGTTTTTCTTGATTCTCTTTAACAAAATTATTATATTTAATGAACGATTCTCGAAAAATTAATTCCTGTTCACGTAATTCCTTCCATTGGGCGTCCATTTCCTTTCTTTCGATTTCTTGTTCGTTCCATTTTTCACGTAATTTATTTTCAGAAATATTCAAATCGCGAAATGTTTTTATTAATTCGAATGCCGGTGAAATTCTCGGAACGTCCCATTCCGGATATTTTCTATTTAAAGAGGATAATTTGAAGAAAAAAAAAAAGAAAAAAAAAAAAAAAAAAAAAAGAAAGAAAAAATAAATAAATTCAATTTCAATACATTCAATTTATCTATTTTATCGACATACATATTATATTTACTTGATATCCCGTTCCTCTTGTTTGGACAAATACAATTCTTTAACGCCTTCGAGAAAATTTCTAGGAATTTCGGCTCGTTCGACGAAATCCAAATTTTCTTTTCGATGTGCTGACATATTTTTTTCCTTTTTTTTTTTTTGTTGATTATAATTAAAATTTCACTCGTGTATTCCGTACTTTTATAAAATAAAATTTTCTTTAACAAAGGTTACTGTATTATCGATCAAACATATTTTTGATTACCAAGTTACCTAATTTGTAGGTTAACTTATAAATATGGCGGCTAAAAAAAAAAACTTGGAGGATGTATAGAAAGAAATTTATAACCTAAATTACATGTACGTGAAAAAGAGAGAGAGAGAGAGAGAGAGAAATTATATAGAAAATAATGAACTTCTTTTATTTTTTCCCCCAAGATGTTCACAGGAATAAGCTATCAATAATATATTAACAAGCTGTATACATTAATATCGTGGATTATTATAAATAAATTTTTTTTACATTTATTTTTTTTTCTTTTTTTTTTCTTTTTCTTTTTTTTTCTTTTTTTTTTCTCTTTTTCCTTCATATATCATTTTCATATATATATATATATATATATATATATATATATATATATATATATATATATATATATATATATTTGACAATTTTTACGAGTTTCCTTCCTGTCCTAACAACGACAATTGTTTCAAAAGTTGTTTACCATTTATAAAAGACGTAGAACCGTATATAATTCTTTTATTAACACCTGTACCACTTTTTTGCTTGACATAATCAATTAAATTTTGATATTCGATATAATTTCCACCGCCTACAATGAAAACAATAACCTCTTGGAATGTTGGTCGATTTTTCGGCATTTGCTCGGAATATTTCAATTGTTTTGGATCTAAATAACAATATTCTTCCGTTTGTGACGATATCCTTGATTCTATAAGCTCGTCGACTATTTTTGTAACAGGTAAATTGTGCTTTTTAACGACCAAATTTTTCACACCCTCCATTACAAAAGAAGAACCCTGATTCATTAATTTTGAAAACATACTAACAGTTTTAGTTCCACCACCTTCATAATTACTTTGAATTTCTGCTATTCTGGTATAACTTCTCAATCTTTTGATATATATCAAAGGATTTAAATTGCATCCAGCTGATTGTAATGCAGCCTCCAATTTGTTATAATCAGTGTCGGACATATTTGTACAAATGTAATATATTATAGCAAGACGTAATTTATCTTCAGGTGTACCACAATCTGGTTCGCTTATAGTATCAAATACACTTCTATCCAATGTTTGTTTGCTCATAATTTTTTCCTCCAATTCAAAATACGTATCAAGACGTCTTGATTTAATACAATTCAATATACCAGTAGCTATTGACGTATGCATATCAATAAGACGTTTCATTTCTAATAATTGTGGTAATGAATTTACTGCATTTGTTAATTTAGCAGTATTTGTAGAAACCATAGATAAAGCAACTTCACTCTCATTATCTATACCCATGGATGATTTTAATTTTTTAACATCCTCCTCATATGTTCTATATTGTTCTAATTCTTCTTGAATAGCTTCTGCTACTCTAGGAAATGGACTACCTTTATGTTGACACCAAAAACGATCTCTGGTGTCCAATTCATAAGCTTTTGTTTTAGAACGAGTACCACCGACAGGTGATCTTCCTATATTCTCTTCTACTATTAATCTATTCAATGCCATTTCTAATACATCATGAGCCAATGCTTGATAAGTCCATGTATGATGTAAAGGAGTAGCCATGTCAACATTTCTATCAAGAACAATAAGTAAAGGTCTTTGAAAATTGTAATGACCTCCTGATGATTCTCCTTCAAAAAGATTATTTCTTGCGTCCCAAACATTTTCTCTTATCTTTTTGTCAATCATCTTTGCTACCATTTCAGCAGCATTACCTTTAGGACAGCGTATAATAGGAACCGTTCCCATTGTAACAAAAACAGAAAATAGACAATCCACTATTATTTCCATAACAGATTCTATTTCGCTATCCTTAACGTCTCCTTTGTTAATAGCATGATATGATATAACTTCGCTATTTTGATGTCTCAATATAAATAGATCATCCTCCAATGTAATAAAATTCAAATATTGATCGTAGACTTTATGAATATTGGATACAACACCACCTAATAATGCTGCCGATGCTAAATCTTCCATTTTTTGTCGTGATATAGGTGATATAAAATTTAAATAATACATATCGTATAATCCATTTTGTAAATCCTGTCCAATTCTTCCAAGATTATCATCGGTAGGTGCACAGAAATATATCGCTGGTACCTCAGGAATTGAATCTCTATCCGAATGTAATTGCATATGTAAAGTAACTCCTAATTCTCTCAATTCTTTAACAGATATCAATGGTGAAATAATATCTTGACCGAGTCTATCGTATATTAATATTTTCCATGCTGGTATTGATTCATCGTGTTTTTCTTCAGGTTGATTTAAATTTAACATTTGCTTCAAAGCATTTATTTGTTTATCCCTTAAACTCAACATTATAATCACAATATAATATATATATGTATATATATATATATGTATATATATATATATTATTTCAATATTATAAATAAAATAATATCTGTCAACATTCAACTTGCGACGTCATCAATAATCCATCCATGAAGTAATATTGAAGTTGTCAAAATATGGAAATTTCAATTGAACGTAAAAAAGTACACGTTTATACTTTTAATTCACCAACAAGGCTCTAAGATTTCTGTTAAATCACTCAACGATAAAACTAGTGACAAAAGTTCAAATATCCCTATGTTCAAGATCCCATTGGAACTGAATTGAATTTTGCGGTGCTGAGGGGCGGGGTTGGGGTGGCGGGAGCGAGAGGAGGGAAAGGGGAAAAAAAAAAAAGAAAAAAAAATATAAAAGGAACAAAAATAAAAGAAAGAAAAATAAAAAAAATAAAAAGATATTTAATCAAGCGGGCATCTATATTGATTGACTTTTGTTGCTTCTTTATAAGAAGTTAGAAAAAAAAAAAAAGACGAGAAAAATATACTCTACGTTAAGATAATCATATATAATTCATATAAAATTATTTGGAGGTTAATAAATTTTATCGACTTACAGTAGTATATATATAACTAATAAAGTGGCCTACGTGAGATTTCGAAGAAACATTGTGACTTTGGTCGTGTCGAGAATTTGTTTTGGTAACACTGCCCGGCAGGAAAATGGCGAGGGAATGGCGTTGGGCAAGTAATATCTATGAAAAGTTCATTGTAATTTCGATTACTCGTCTGTGACATGTAAATAATGAAGAAGAACTGATTTATATATCGACGTAAGAATCGTATCGATATTTGTGAATTAAAGAACTTCTAGTATTCGATGAGTTTTCGATGATACGTTTCTGACAGCATGTCCACAATGGCCGATGACTCTACTTCGCTGCCAAAAAGGCGTCAATTGGTAAACAAACATTTTTACATAGTAACAATTAAATAAAGGAAAAAAAAATGAAAAAAAGAAAAGAAAAAAAAACAGAAAAGAAAAGAAAAGAAAAAAGAGAAAGAAAAAAATCTATTACAATAACTTACGGTGCAGTAATTAATATCGTATAGGTTAGGTTATTTGCTTTATCGTTAATACGTGTGAAGAGGGAAAGAAAAGAAATATATATATATATATATATACATATATATGTGTGTATATATATATATATATGTATATAAAAAATCAAAAATTTCATTGTCTTTTCTTTTTTATTTTACTTTTTTTTCTTTTTTATATATCATATATATATATACATATATATGATTACCATATATATGATATGTATATGTGTATATATACATGTATATATACACATATACATATATGTATATACATATATACATACATATACATACATATACATATATATATATGTATGAATGTATATATATATATATATATATGTATATATATATATTTGTAGAGAGAGAGAACGAAAAAGTTGTATTCGGATGATTGGGCTATTGGCGATGAAGAAATTGAAGGACGTAGAACTTTCCAGCTTGATGAAAAGATAGAATGCGATAGATATGATCTAAGTCATTTTAATGGATTATTCCGTGAAATGAATGGATCAGAACTGAATCTTGCTTATCTACAAAAGCATGGTCTTGGTATACCATTATTATTTAGAGATAAATCTGGATTAGGATTGAGAGTACCTAGTTCCAACTTTACTGTCAATGATGTTAGAACTTGCGTTGGTATGTTATTATTCCTATATATATATAAATATATAAAATATTTTTGTCTGTCTAAAAAAAAAAGAAATAAGAAAAAAATTAATACTCTTGGATTAGGTTCTAAAAGGATATTAGACGTGATGGACGTCAATACCCAAAAGAATGAGGATATGACAATGAAGGAATGGCAAAAATATTATGAGGATCAGAATAAGGAACGTTTGTTGAATGTTATATCATTGGAATTTAGTCATACTAAATTGGAAAATTATGTACAATCACCGAGTCTTGTTCGTCAGGTTGATTGGGTTGATGTTGTATGGCCAAGACATTTAAAAGAAGCCCAAGTAGAATCTACAAATCTTTTGGAAGATATGATGTATCCTAAAGTACAGAAATATTGTTTAATGTCCGTGAAAGGATGTTATACGGATTTTCACGTTGACTTTGGCGGTACCAGTGTATGGTATCATATATTAAGAGGTGGAAAAATCTTTTGGTTAATACCACCCACTGAAAAGAATTTGGCTTTGTATCAGGAATGGGTATTAAGTGGTAAACAGTCAGATGTATTTTTTGGTGATATGGTTGATAGATGCGGTAGAATAAGTTTAACCGCAGGAATGACATTGTTTATACCAACCGGATGGATACATGCCGTTTATACGCCTCAAGATTCTTTGGTATTCGGTGGTAATTTTCTTCATAGTTTTGGTATTGAAAAACAATTGAAAGTTGCCCAAGTTGAGGAACATACAAAAGTGCCTCAGAAATTTCGCTATCCATTTTTTACAGAAATGTTATGGTACGCATATATTTATAAAACAATGAAAATATTTTCCAATGGTATATTAATTTTTAATCGTTAATTAATATTTATGTTACTTCTTCTTTTTTTTTTTTTTTTTTTTTTTTTATAGGTACGTTCTCGAAAGATACGTACACGTTCTGTTGGGTAGAAGTCATTTAGATATATCGGAATCTCAAAGGCAACATTTAGTTCCTCAACATCTTCAACATGTCCATCTTACGCCATACGAATTACATGGTTTAAAAGCCATAGTAATGTACCTGCATTCATTGCCCTCTACTAAAAAGAATGTGCCTGAATTAATACACGATCCCGTTGCCCTGATTCATGACGTTAGATGTTTGGTAGAGCAACACAGACATGACAGTCCAGAAGCAGCTGTAACTGGTAATCCAGTATTACCACCACCGCCAGCATTGACTATAGCAGAAGGAGTAAATATGAATAAAATTATAATAAACTATGAATGTTATTTGTGATTATTTAAGTGACGTTGTTTGTTATATCTTCTTTTTTTCTTTTTTCTCTGTGACTCTTTTTTTTTTTTTTTTTCTTTTTTTTCTTTTTTTTCTTTTTTTTTTTTTAAATATCATTTTACAGGAACGCATGAGAATAACAAAGAAAACATTCGTGAAAATACAAAGGCATCATTCGCAAGAGAAATCTGAAAGAGCATTTCCAAGAAGAAGACGTACTAGATGCAAGAAGTGTGAAGCATGTACAAGAACAGACTGCGGTGAATGTATGTACTGTCAAGATATGGTCAAATTTGGTGGTAGTGGACGTGCAAAGCAAACATGCTTGATGAGACAGTGCCTTAGGCCCATGCTACCAGTTACCGCAGCTTGTAAAGTATGCCAATTGGATGGTTGGGGTCAACAACCTGCTCCATTAATGGGTACTTTATTATTATTTTATATCTATTTCAATTGTAATTTAAAATTCAAAAAATATTGAAATCTTATTAATATATATATATATATATATATATATTTTTTGTTAATTGTTATATATAGGTAAACCTACGCCGACAGCACCATCGAGATTAGTTGAATGTTCTGTGTGTTTTGATATTGTCCATCCAGAATGTATAGGATTGGATCCTCAAAGAATAACTGTTAGTGATGATCTACCGAATAGTTGGGAGTGTCCTGAATGTTGTGAAAGTGGTAGAAATTTAGATTACAGGCCACGACAGCCAAAAGCACGTGCTCGTAAACTTTCAGCATCTAGTGCTGCATCTTCAACACCTACAACAGATTCTGAAAGAGCGACAACCCCAAGTAAACGATC